AATTTGAAAGAACAGTCTCAATTGAAAGCTTTGAATTTGAAAGGTTTGACCAAGAGTTGACTTATTTGTATATGAGCTCGGATCGGAATTTTTATGATTTTGTCAGCTTCGTGGGGTGATTTATGACTTAGGAGTGTGATCGGAAGTAGTTTTGGAGGTCCGGTGTAGAATTAGGCTTGAATTGGCGAAGTTAGCATTTTGGCGAATTCCGGTTGATGGGTGAGATTTTGATCCGAGGGTCGGAATGGAATTCCGAGAGTTGCTGTAGCTTCGTTATGTGATTTCGGATGTGTGTGCAAAATTTCAGGTCATTTGGACGTGGTTTGGATGGGTTTTTGATCAAATGCGTTTTTCGGAAGTTTTTTTGGAAAGCTTAGGCTTGAATTCGATGTGAATTGATGGTTTTGGTGTTGTTTGAGGTGTTTTGATGATTGGAACAAGTTGGAATGAGGTTTTAGGATGTGTTGATGCTTTTGGTTGAGGTCCCGGGGGCCTCGGGGTGATTTCGGATGGTTAACGGGAAGATTTTGAACCTGGGAGATTTCAGAAAAATATGCTGCTTCTGGTGTTTTCGCACCTGCGGTGTGGGGACTGCAGGTGCGGTGTCGCACATGCGAGAGGATAACCGCAGATACGGTTTTGGGAGAGGAAGATTGGAACCGCAGATGCGATAGGGGGCCCGCACCTGCGGAGCCGCAGATGCGGCACTGGACTGCAGAAGCGGTTTTGGACTTCAATGAATTTCCACAGAAGCGGATGGTTGGACCGCATATGCGGTACCGCAGAAGCGGAACTTGGACCGCAGAAGCGGAAATGCCTGGGCAGACCTTATATGTTATTTCATTGCGCGATTTTGGGTTATTCCACCATTGTTCCCTTCGACCTTGGAGTTTTTGGAGCGATTCTGAAGAGGGAAATCAAGAGACTTCGTTAAGGTAAGGAATTTTGGTCTTAAAACTCGATTATATTGTGAAATCCACCTAGAAATTCATGGAAACGAAGCCTAAAATTGAAGAACTAGGGCTTGAGAAATTGGACTGTTGAATTGGGATTTGAAGGACCATTTGAGGTCGGATTTGAGAACTTTTGATATGTATGAACTTGTGAGAAGATAAGGAATCTAATGATGTGAAAATTTCTGAGTTTCGAGAAGTGGGCCCGGGGCTCGGGTTTTGCTAATTTCGGGATTTTTGATATTTTTCGATTGTTTTCGCTTGGGCTTTGTTCCCTTAGCATATTGTGATGTATTCGCTGTGATTGTGGTTAGATTCGACGTGCGTGGAGACCGATTTGAGGGGCAAAGGCGTTGCGAGCTAGAGATTTCGCCGGTTCGAGGTGAGTAATGATTGTATATGATATCCTGAGGGTTTGACACCCCGGATTGCACATCATAGTGCTGTATTGAGGCGAGACACGCGCTGGATAATGAGCGTGGGGTCTTCTACTGCTGGGGATCGTGACTTGGTCCGTCCCGAATGATGATTTTACCGCATATTTGACTGAAACTTATTTGTTATCATCATAATTTGGGCTGATTGCCATATTTGGGCTTCGTGCCAATTACTTGAACCCCTCCAGGGATGGTTGTTGATATTTCCTCACTGTTTGATTTTATACTTGAACTCAGTCACGTATTTTCCACTGTTTTCAAAACTCAGCCAAGTTTATTTTGCTTTAACACTTGAAATGATATTTCCTATACTATTTTTGGGCTGAGCAACATGTTTTACTGTTACCCGAGGGGCTTATGTGATTTTTGACTGAGTAAGGCTGAGGGCCTGTGTGTGAGGATACTTTTGGATCGGACTACACGCCGCAACAGTGTTATACCGATACTGAGATGAGGCCGAGGGCCTAGACTTGATGCCACGAGATGGCTTGATATTGCGCTTGGGCCGTAAGGGGCCCCTCCCGGAGTCTGCACACCCCAGTGAGCGCCGTCGACGATAAATGGATCGGGCTGCACGCCGCAGCGATATGTGGATCGGGCTGCACGCCGTAGCGGTACTGGTACTGTTCTATGTGTTTACTTTATTTCGTTGTCTGCCATTATCTGTTGTCTGTGCTATTTCATGCAATACCTACCTGATTGCCTGGCATTATCTGAAAAACTGAGTGTTGTTCCCGAGGGGCGAATTTCTGTGCTTATCTGCACTATTGTTTGCATTCAATTGCATAACGGCTAAAAAAGTTATTTCCAAAAGAGGTTTAAACTGAGCCAAGATGTTTTTCTAAGGATTTCACAGCTTCACTGTTTTCTAAAAAGGGTTTTACACTGCTCTATACAACATGACGATTTGTTTTACGTGATTTCTTACTGCTTAGTTATTATTTACCTTTATTACTCACTGAGTTGGAGTACTCAATTTACTCCCTGCACCTTGTGTGCAGATGCAGGTATTTGTTCACCCGGTAGCGGGTTTTGAGCTGATCGGAGGCTAAGTTTATCGAAGTTTAGCGAGGTGACTGCTAGCGTCCGCAGCACCGCATTTCTTCCTTATGTTTATCAAAGGAACTTCCTGCACACTGCCTCAATCAAGTGAATAATCTTCTTTGGAAGAACAAACACCTGGGCCCAGAAAGTTTGTATAAAAAATAGGACACTTTTTATCAATTGTTCCCTCCCAGCATAGGATAGGTACTTTGTAGTCCATGATTCAATTCTTCCTAGCATTTTCTCCAGTAGAGGGTAGCATTGTACATCGGTTAATCTCCTTGTACTTAGTGGGACTCCAAGATATCTAACTGGTAGCTGCCCTTTAATAAAGTTCAGCTTTGTCAGGATTTCATTCTGCACTACCTCAGGAACACCACCAAAGTAAATAGAGCTCTTCTGCTTGTTTACTATTAATCCAGAAGCCTTCGAAAAATTTAAAAAGCAATCAAATAAGAGCTGGACAGAGATGGCATCTCCTCTGCATAAAAGAAGCATATCATCCGCAAAACCAAGTTGTAGAATCTTCATTTTCTCGCATCTTGGATGGTAATTGAAATCTGGATTCTTTTTGAGAGTTTTGAGGCGTCTAGTGAAGTATTCCATAGTTAACACAAACAGGAAAGGCGACAGGGGGTCCCCTTGCCTTAGACCTCTTTTGGCATCAAAGGGCTTGCAAGGCTAACCATTTATCAGTACTGAGTAGGAGACTGTTTTCACACATTGCATGATCCACCTTGTAAACCTTCCCGGGAATTCTAGACCATCCATCACTTGCTCCAAGAATACCCACTCTACTGAGTCATACGCCTTTTGCATATCCAATTTCATCATACACCTTGGGGAGATCCCTTTCCGCTCATAACCCTTCACCAATTCATGGCTTAGGATTATATTATCAGAAATGACTCTACCTGGGACAAACGCAGATTGAGAATTGTCCACCAGCTCATCCATCACATCCTGGAGTCTTTGGACTAGTATTTTTGAGATGATTTTGTACAAGATTGTGCAACAAGATATAGGTCTATAATCCTTTATGGATGATGGGGTCTTCACTTTTGGAATCAAAGTTACTGCTGTGCAATTTATTGGTTTGAACATGGCTGTTGTCTCAAAGAACTGTAGGACAGCTTTGGTGATTTCATCTCCAATGACAGGCCATGCCTTCTTGAAAAAACATGCATTCAACCCATCTAATCCTGGTGCTTTTAGATCATCTATCCCCCATTGAGCTTTTTCTACCTCTTCTCTTGTTACTTGTGCAATCAATTTAAGTTGCTGATTTCTTCTCAGAGTTGGCTCCTGCTTCATTACTTGCAATTGTATTGCTGGCACAGCCTTGGCAGCAGTTCCCAGTAGGGATTTATAATAGTCAATTATCTCAACTTCTATGTCTTTCTCTGTTTGTAGCAAATGCCCCTTCAGACTGCTCAGCTCCCTTATGTAATTCTGTGAGTTCCTAACCTTTATATTTGCAAAGAAATATGCTGAATTTGAGTCTCCGAGTTGTAGCCATTTCACCCTAGACTTCTGTCAATATATACTTTCTTCAATATGGTCCCACTTCTCTATTTAGTTCTTCAGCTTTTTTTCTTCCTCAATTAGCTCATGCTGCCTCAAGTTGGTATCCATATTCTCCTGGACTTCCGTTAATTGGTCCCTAAGATATTTCAGCTTCTTTTCTACTCCCATATAGTGCTGTGTATTTAAGATCTTAAGCTCTTGCTTGACCTCTTTAAGTTTTGCCCAGATGCTGCCCATGCTGCTCAAATTCTCTTCTTTGTACCAGCACTGTTTTATCAGGGAAATGAACCTTTCATCATCCGCTAGGCAGTTCAAAAATCTAAACGGTTTTCCTCCATTGCCTCGTCTCTTTCCAAATTGGATGCTTAGAGGGGAATGATCCGAGAAGTATGGTTCCATTACTCGCACTTGCAATGTTGGCATTGTGGTCATCCATTCTCCATTTACTATTGCTCTATAATCTTACTGTAGACATGATTGTTTGTGCAAGTATAGTTTCTGCCCATATATTGTAGTTCAGCCATACCAGTGTCAAACAAAATATCCCTGAAATCTCTGATTTCCACCTCCTGTACAGGGGCTCCAAATTGTCTGTCTTCAGGATGCAACACTGTGTTGAAATCTCCCATGATGAGCTATGGTCCCTGTTGAGTAGTTTCCAAGGCTTTAAGTTTCATCCATAACCTCTCCCTGTTCTTTATGTTATGTAATCCATAGACATCCGTAAATGTGAAAGCTATATTAAGAGCAAAGATTCTCACTTTTCCATGCACTATTTGAGGGTCCATATCCAGCATTCTGAATCCAACATATTTAGGATCCCAGAGTACCCATATCCTCCCTTTTGTGATTGTACTGGCATTTGAAAGCCAGTTCCAATTAGGAGCTATTTTTTGTATTATCTTCCCTTCTTTACATTGTTGTACTCTATGTTCTACTATAGCAACAAAATTAACTTTAGTCTCCCTCATAAACACCTTCATCTCCTTGTGCTTATGTATTTTATTCATGCCTCTAACATTCCATGTCACAAAATTCATCATTGATTATGATAGAAGTTGGTATCCCCTGCCCCATCGGTGTAGCTGCATTGTCCCCTAGAATCCCCTCTCTTTTGTATCTGATATTCATGTTGATCATCCGACATCAGTAATGGATTAAATCCATTGGAGGTCCCAACATTCTCTTCCTCCGTGATTGTGTTCTTAGCTTTGATTGCTGATTTTGTTGTCACTTTTGTCCATTCCTCTTGTTGCGTACTTGCATTTGGAGCCTCTTTGCTTATAGTGTTTATCTCAGTTTGCTTTGCTATGTCAGTACTGGGATTAGCCTTATTTTGTTGCACACCCTGGTTACCCGTGGCATCATTCTTCCTCCACACTTGTTTCCCTTTCTGCACTTTACCTCTAGTTTGTTGTATAGTAGGGCGCTGGGCTTCCACTTCACTACAGGAGTGTCCTACTTGCAAGCATTTTCCACAGAATTCTGGCTCCCATTCATAAGCAATTTCTTGCACCATTTGATTTCCTTGTGGATCAAGCACCAGTATACATTTAGGCAGTTCCTTTGTGATATCTATCTCTATAAGGACCCTGGCATATGATTTGCGAGTAGTATTTGTAGTGCAATCATCAGCATACAATGGCGTACTTAGCCCACTACTAATTTTACTTAAGGATCTTTTGTTCCAGCACTGTAATGGCAGGTTTGGGAACTTTACCCACAATGGCATCGTCTTTAGAACTACATTTTTAAAATTAAAGTCAGCAGCCCAAGGCTTCATTATCACATGCCTATTGTTGATCATATTAGGTCCAGTCAATAATACTTCATCTCTCTCCTCCATTTTATTGAATCTGATCACAAAGTAGTCCTCATTATGGTAGAAGATTTGAGGCTTTGTAGTTAATTTCCAGCGTGCCATCAGAAACCTTTCAATAGCCCTATCGTAGGAGAGTACCCAATCACATAGAGGATAATTGATTGCTTCCATTATACCGTTCCCTCATCAATGTCTTCCTGCTCTAATTGCACCATTTTCTTCCCCTCTTGTATAATTGGAACTATGTATTCGAGATTCATCCCTTTAGCTGCTAGCTTATTACCCGCTACAACATTTGCCCAGGATATCACTCGTGCTTTCTCCCCTTGCCCTTTTGGCGAGACTGTTTTGGTGGAATCATCTCCATTTTGCTGCTTGCCCTCTTCATCACCTATCCCTCTAATCCCCTTCAATGTTGAATTATTGAGAGTCTCCGGTGCCGATATCGCCCCTACGGTACTGGTAGGGGTAACAGATGTTTGAACCATCACCTTGTTCAATTGCACCTCAATTTGTTCCTTAGGACTGCTTATCACCTTTGTTGTTGCTGAGCTACTCCCTAATTCATCAATTCCCTTCCCCGCCGGCGTAGCCATTGTTACCCTGTTTGAATTACCTCCATTCGTTGGTGTCCCAGCAGATTTGAAACCTAAATTGGGGTCCTCCTTTGTTGATTTCCCCATCCCCGATCCTTTGTTAAGCTCCTCCAGTAGTTTTAGGTCAGTCAATAGTACTCTGTTGACGTGTTTCCGTGGTCTTCCCCGCCCCATTCCGGCAAAGGCGCACGTTAAGAGGCTCACCCTAACTTGCGCCGAGAGAGAATAGAGAGGAAAACTTTTTGATTACTTAGTAGTAGACTGTGGTTATTTAGTTATGCTAAAACTGCTTATTAATATTAACTATTTTGAAAAGGGCAATTTGGGTTGGTTGGCTGGCCTTGTCTTAACGAGAGGCGCCATCACGATCGGATCGGGGTTTGGGTCGTGACAATCAATTTTTCAGAAACCTAGAAAACATTAAAAGTTCAGCTACTGTTTCATTGATAGCTAATCGATTTCCTTGCTGATTTGGACCTAAGTTAGAACAAATTCTTGCTCTGAAATTTCTGGGTTTTTGAGTTGCAAAAATGGCTTGAGTTTGGATGATGTGATATTGCTGGGTTTGGTTGCTTAGTTTCATTCAGTTCAGCCACTTGTTTCTGCTGTTTGTTTCTGCTACTATTAAGCTTACTAAAGCTTGGTTTTTTTACCTTTATTTGGTCATTTTTCTGCTGTATTTTTCAATTTCAAGGTATGTAACAATGTCTATCTTAAGTAGAACTAATCTTGAGTCCAAAATTTGTGTTTGAAACTTGTTTTGTTTGGATGAACTTTGCCGTTAGTTTTAGGAACCATGACTTTGTGAACTTGGGGTTGATTAATGCCTACAAACCCTGTGTTAATGTTGCTTTAAATGGCCGTTGAAGTTGATCATGAAATCTAAAATATTGTGCTGTATATGTCAATGTTTGATTGCTGAATCAGTGTGATTGCTAAAATGTGTTCAAAATTCACCATTAATAATAGCACTAAAGGAAATGAATCTGACCCTTTAATGGTCAGATTCACCCCTTAATGGTGCCTAGATTCTTATTTTGGTCATTGAAACAATTAGCATATTATAGAAAAGGGACTCCGCTGGTAAAGTCATGAGCATGTCCTAGCTTGTTCGAAGTTAAAGCAGCAGTAGATTGGACTGTCACTTAGAATATTTTTTAAAAGAAAGCTGTATTTTAGACGAATAGTGATGCGAAAAGTCTGTTTTAAAATTGCTATTGTATTCTGATTTATTGTAATAAGTTGGACTGGACTTTATACAATTTATAGATTAGTTAATGCAACTCCAGTAGTTTATTTAGCTATATTCTAAATGTAGGTTAGTATATTATGCATGTTTGCAATATTTGGCTTTTATTGATTCCAACAATTTTAAAGTGACTGTTTATCTATGTTTAAAAAATGGTTTTAAAATTTAAGACTCAAATCTGGTTTTGTTATTATTAAATACGTGATTAATTAAGGTCTACCATGTTAGACATTTTAAAGATTTATGCAAATGTTAGCGTAAAAAGCTTTTGTGATTTCAGTGGGCTTTTAGTATTCGAAACCAGATCCTTAAAACAATTGGGCCTGCCGATGTCCCAAATCATGGCGCCTAGCCAAAATCGGACCTCTGTTGTTCGGTTCTCATTTGTCTTACGCCTGGGCCCAATTGTGAGCCCAGTTGGTGATAGCTTGCATTCCCTGTTCTTTAACGCCCGTCAAATAGTATACTGGGCATGCTATTGGCCCAGTTCTTTGTCCAAATAACTATAGGCCTGTTTTATATTTCATTACCCATAATCATTGGCTTAAATCAAAAATAGTTGTGAGTAAGAACATTCCTTTATTACTTTAATCATACGAGCCTTCTGAAAATTGAGGTGTGCCATCTTTCATCAAATAACTCATGGCCCTCACAAACATTATAATTTAGATATCCTAAAATGAACATTCGTAGAAAAGCCTTTAGGCGCGATTTAATATACTATCGCGATTGTGTACACGTTCGCGTGACACAATTACAATTTTAAAAAACAAAATCGGAGTATGCGTTCGTGCAACTTCGACTAAACCCTTTTAACAATAATAATAAAGCGTTATTAATTGCAGACACGTTCGCGTGACATGATTTTTGACGCGCCAAACAAATGGGTACACGTGCGCGTGAGCTGTTTTAAGATAATTTCTTAAATTAAAGAGGCAAATGCGTATAGGTTCTAAAATAAGTAATAAAATAATTTGATTAAGCCAAGTATGATCAAAGCGACCGTGGTAGAACCACGGAACCCGAGAATGCCTAACACCTTCTCCCGGGTTAACAAAATTCCTTACCCGAATTTCTGTGTTTCGCAGACATTAAACCAGAGTCAAATCTCCTCGATTCGGGATTCTAAATCGGTGACTTGGGACACCATAAACTATCCCAAGTGGCGACTCTGATCTTAAATAATAATCCCGTTTCGATTGTCACTTAAATTGGAAAAAACTCCCTTATACCCCTTTCCGGGGGTAGTAAAAAGGAGGTGTGACAGCTCTGGCGACTCTGCTGGGGATAAGAACCCAGAATCTCTGGTTCAGGGTTCAAGAATTCGAGCTTGTTAATATGATTTTGCTTGGCTTTATTTATTGTTAATATTACTGTATTTTTGGAACCTAATGTGCTAATTGATGTTTATTTACCGATCTATTGTTGCTTGAATTTTATTAAAATGCCTTCTTACGCCACCCTCCCGAGTCTTCTAAAATTTGGTGCACACGTACGCGTGGCCCACTTTCTGTTAGAAGTCATACCAATTAGAACGAGGTATGGGTCAGCAACAAGTACGAGCAGACTTTCGAGCTCCCGGTACGTTGCCCCCACCTCGGCTCGAGTTGTCCACTCGGGTAAACCCAGTCTAGAACCCAACCCCAGGTTTAAACCTAGAAGAACATAACCTTATGCCGGATCCCTAGTAGGAACATTTGTTTGCATCACGCGCATTTGACTTAGGGGACTCAACACAGGGGTTGAGTCCGTCTAGGACAGGTGTACCCACAATAACAGACCATCCTGATGCATCTTACGTGCTATGTGAACATTTATTTGTTTCGGCCTGCAAGCTGACCGGCTAGGAAAGACAGTTAGGGGAAAAACCAAGAGTGGCGTAGAATGGAAATAAACTCGATTTTGAAAATCTCGGTATTTGAAAATGTCTTGAAACTCTGCCGAATTTTTCAAAAAAAGTGGGATTTGAAAAAAAGTAAGAAAAGCAAAAGAGTCATGTCAAAACAAGTTACTCGTGTTTTCTTTTAAAATTATGTCAAAACTGCCCGAACTACGCAGGTCTGATTCCCATTGGACGTGGGATACGTAGGCAACCTACATAGGGTTCGGCCTCTCTTTGCAAAATTAACCAGATAAAGTGAAGTTGTAGGTAGGTCTTTAGTCAAGAATAAGCCGACCCAACTTCGGTGTCATTCTCACCGAGATAGCCTTAGAATATTTTTCGATTGTCGAAGGGCTATTTTTGTAGAGAACGAACAAATCTGTCAGTACGGGGTCATTTTTCTAAGTGTCTTCCCCCGGCCTCAAAATTTACTTGAAATTGCGAAGGGGCCACATTTACGAAAGCAGCTACTTTTGTGTAAAAGGGGAAAGGGTCATTTTCTTTTGCTCATTCCTTTGGGAGTCAATAACTGGTTCCTCAAAATTCTATCAGAGTCAACCCTAACCCTAACCGTTCACAGGTACCAAGATGAACACTGTCCAGGACCCGAAACTACTAGTCATAGAGCAGGCTCAGTTACAGTTGTGCATGTGGTGGTATGATTTGGATAAAGATGGTCAAGACTGGGTAAAGGAACAGTTGGGTGCTCTCACCGACATTTTGAAAATTAAACCACAGGAAGATTTGATCAAAGCTTTGGTAACATTTTGGGATCCTATGCACAATGTCTTTCGTTTCTCGAATTTTGAGCTCACCCCTACACTGGAGGAAATAGCTGGATACATTCATTTTGGTCAGGACTTGAGAAAACAACAGCTGATATTCTCGAGAGCCCCATCAGTGCACAAATTCTTTGATCTTCTTAATATCAGCAAACAAATGAAGAAGGCTTATGTGGACAACGGGTGTTGTTCCTTTCAATTTTTGTATTCCAGAATTGGGCATTCGGTCGAGTTCGAAACACATGAAAAAGGATTGAACAACAAACAGGACAAGAACATTTGGCAAATTCATCGTAGGTTCGCCTTCATAGTTGCGTTCCTGGGAATCATAGTCTTTCCAAATGCTGAAGGGACAGTAGATACCCGCATGGCTAGAGTTGCACAAACCCTTATTAAAAAGAAAGATCACACACTTGCTCCTCTACTACTGGCAGATATTTACCGGGAATTGACATTGTGTAGATCTGAGGCTCAATTCTTCGAAGGCTGCAGTGTTCTTCTACAAATGTGGTTGATCGAGCATCTCCGCCATCACCCCAAATTCATGAGTTGTGGTTCAAGCAAAGATAACTTCATCAAAAGCTATGAGGAAAGGGTGAAAGATTACAACGCTCCAGAAGGGTTTGAAGCTTGGATCTCCCATTTGAAAGATCTGAAAGAAA